GAACAGATTTGAAATTAAACAAAATTTTACATTGTATCTTTAACTACACAAACACTGGTATATTAATTAAATATTATATAGGCCTGCCCTCAATGTTCACAGTATAGCAGGTCTATCAGATACCATGATGTTACATATACACTATTTACTTTTAAGAAGCATTTTTGAAATACTGTGTGGCATAATATTTGCACTGTTCTCTAGTATATGTGTTAGTAAGAGTTTTACATAGTTCAGAGGACTGTGTGCGGCTTCTAGCAGTCTCCACTAACCTAGTGAGCAACACTACATTGGTCAGTTGCCTGCAGGAATGGCTCAAGACTCTTAATCATGGGCAATTTCAACCATGGAAAGATAGACTGGGAGAATGGGGACCCACATGGTGGTGCAGATACTGTACATGGAGAAACTCTTGGAAGTGACAACACTGAACTTTCTGAGCCAGCACGTCAGGGAACTCACAAGAGTGAGAGGCAATGATGAACCAGCTAGACTACTTGATATTCACCCTGAATGACTCAGAAATAAGGGATGTCAAAGTTAAAGCCCCCATAGGAATGAGTGACCACAATGTATTGACATTTGAGTCCTTGGTGGAGGTAGGGATAATCTATCCAAGGTTGGGATCTGAAGGGAAAAGACTAAATTACCGAAAAGGAAAATATGACGAGATGAGGAACTTCTTAAGGGAAATACCATGGGAAACAGAACTTGGAAACAAGACTGTACAGGATATGATGGATTATGTCACCCAGAAGTGCCAGGAATCTGCAGACAGGTTTATTCCGGTCCAAAAGGAGAAAAACGAAAAACTACAGAAAAATCCATGGTTCAACCAGGAATGTAAGGTAGCCAAACAACTGAGTAAAAGAACATGGAGAAACTACAGAAATAACAGAACACTGGAGAGCAGGGAGAGATACCAGAGGGCCAGAAATGAGTACCTCAGAGTGAGGAGAGAAGCAGAGAGACGGTATGAAAATGACATTGCGAGTAAAGCCAAGACCCAACTAAAGCTGCTCCACAGCCACATCAGGAGGAAAACAGCAGTGAAGGAACAAGTGATGAAACTAAGAAAAGGGGAGAACAGATACACAGAGAATGACGAGGTGTGTGAAGAACTCTTAGATATTCCAGAAGGTCTTCACAATAGAACAAGGAGAAACCCCTGCACTAAATGAGGCGGCGGCAAACCAAGCAACCTTGGAGGAATTTGACCTCACCAGTGATGAGGTGTCTGTTGGAGCTGAATGTAACAAAGGCTGTTGGGCCTGACAGAATCTCACCATGGATACTAAAGGAAGGTACAGAAGCACTAAGTGTGCCACTCTTTATGTGTATAACAGGTCTGGAAACAGACCTACCAGAAAGTTGGAAGACACCTAACGTAGTCCCAATATACAAGAAGGGTGACAGGCAAGAGGCACTGAACTACAGGCCAGTTTCCCCTAACTTGTATTCCATGCAAGGTGATGGAGAAGATAGTGAGGAAAAAGGCTCGTAGAGCATCTGGAGGGAAATACCTTTGTAACACACCACCAACATGGGTTCAGAGATGGTAAATCTTGCCTCACAGGTTTAATAGAATTCTATGACCAGGCAACAAAAATTAGACAGGAAAGAGAAGGGTGGGCAGACTGCATTTTCCTGGACTGCCAGAAAGCCTTTGACACAGTGCCCCATAAAAGGCTGTTTAAAAAGTAGGAGCAACAGGCAGGAGTAAAGGAAAGGTGCTCCAGTGGATAAGGGAAAGCAACAGGAAACAGCAAGTAACTGAGGGGGGGGAAGAGACATCAGAGTGGCGAGATGTCACCAGTGGAGTCCCACAAGGCTCGGTACTTGGACCCCTCCTGTTTCTAATATATGTAAATGATCTTCCGGAGGGTATAGACTCATTCCTCTCAATGTTTGCTGAAGATGCAAAAATTATGAGAAGAATCAAGACAGATGAAGATAGACAGAGACTACTGGATGACTTGGACAAACTGGAGGAATGGTCTAGAAAATGGCTGCTAAAGTTCAACTCAGGAAAGTGTAAAGTAATGAAATTAGGCAAAGGGAGCAGGAGGCTGAACACAAGATACCATCTGGGAGGTGAAATCCTGCAAGAGTCAAATAGAGAAAGATCTGGGGGTTGATATCACACCAAACCTGTTCCCAGAGGCAAACATCAAAAGGATATCATCAGCAACATATGCTAGGTTGGCCAACATAAGAACCGCTTTTAGAAACTTGTGTAAGGAATCGTTCAGGACCCTGTATACCACTTATGTCAGACCAATCCTGGAATATGCAGCTCCAGCCTGGAGTCCATACCTAGTGATACACAAGACAAAGTGAAGATTCAGCGGTATGCCACCAGGCTCGTCCCGGAACTGAGAGGAATGAGCTACGAGGAAAGGCTAAAGGAGTTGAACCTCACGTCCCTGGAAAATGGAAGAGTAAGGGGAGACGTGATAACCCACCTACAAAATTCTCAGGGGAATTGACAGGGTGGACAAAGACACACTCTTCAGCACGGGTGGAACACGAACACGGGGACACAGGTGGAAACTTAGTACCCAGATGAGCCACAGAGACGTTAGAAAGAATTTTTTCAGTGTCAGAGTAGTTAATAAATGGAATACACTAGGAAGTGATGTGGTGGAGGCCGACTCTATACACAGTTTCAAATAGAGGTATGATAGAGCCCAGTAGGCTCAGGAATCTGTACACCAGTTGATTGACGGTTGAGAGGTGGGACCCAAGAGATAAAGCTTAACCCCCACAAGCACTACTAGGCGAGTAGTGAATGGTGAATGAATAAGAAAATCTAGTTGTTTAAATAAAATAATTATGCTATGAATGCTATGAAGGAAAAGTCTACTTACTGCAACATACTGCCAGCCAGCACCCACACGTACCAGTAGTGCCTCTTCCTCCACAACAAAGGCCAGCGTACCCACGGGTGACACTGAGCTCATCTGTCAATATAATTAGGTATTTACATTTCTCTTTATGTCCAAAGATTTTGATGTCCAATATAAATACCCCCCGTTACAATGACAGTTCAGTGTGTACTAGGGTGTGTTGAGGAGAGTGTAGGTGACAATCTGGAAAAAACACAATGTTCTTAATGTGGTCCTCAGGTGATAGTTTTTTTTTATCTAGAACCACCCCTAGATCTTTTTCTATATCAGAATTCAATAAAGATTTCACATAATTTATAGGTTGTGTGGGGTCTATGTTCTCCTATTCCACATTCCATAACATGGCATTTATTCACATTAAATTCCATTTGCCAAGTGGTGCTCCATATAGTTATTTTGTCCAGGTCTTCTTGGAGGGCATTACAATCATCTAAGTTTCTTATCTTTCCTATTATCTTATCATCATCAGCAAACATGTTCATATAATTCTGTATTCCATCTGGTAGATCGTTTATGTAGACAACGAACATAACCGGTGCAAGAACTGAACCCTGTGGTACTCCACTTGTGACATTCCTCCAGTCTGATACATTGCCTCTGATTACTGCCCTCATTTTTCTATCAGAAAATTTTTCATCCATGTTAGAAGCTTACCTGTCACCCCTCCTATATGTTCCAGTTTCCAGAATAACCTCTTATGTTGAACTCTATCAAAAGCCTTTTTTTAGGTCCAGATAGATGCAGTCAACCCAACCATCTCTTTCCTGTAAAATCTCCGTGGCTCGATCATAGAAACTGAGTAAATTCGTTACACAGAATCTTCCAGGGCAAACACCATACCGTCTGTCTGATATTATATAGTTTTCTCCAGGTGTTTACCCATTTACTTTTAATTATTTTTTCCAATATTTTAACTATTACACTTGTCAATGATACAGGTCTATAATCGAGGGGGTCTTCCCTGCTGCCACTTTTGTAGATTGGAACTATGTTAGCCTTTTTCCCCAGACATCTGCTATGACTTCTGTACACAGGGATGCCTGAAAAATCAGTTGAAGTGGAATGCTGAGCTCAGGTCCTCATTCTCTCAGAACCCATGGTGAAACTCCATCTGGACCAACTGCTTTGTTCTTACTTAGTTCCTTGAGCATTTTTTCCATTTCGTCTCTAGACACCTCTATGTTCTCTATGTTGTTCTCTGGAATTCTTATTGTATCTGGTTCCCTGAAGATTTCATTTTGCAAAAACACACTTTGGAACTTTTCGTTTAATGTTTCACACATTTCATTTTCATTTTCCGTGAATCTGTTTCCCATTTTCAACCTCTGAATATTATCCTTTACCTGCAATTTGTTGTTTATGAATTGATAGAATAGGCCTGGTTCTGTTTTACATTTGTCTGCAATCCCTTTTTCAAAATTTCTTTCTGCCTCTCTCCTCACTGCCGTGTAGTTGTTTCTCGCATCTTTGTATCGCTGATATGTTTGGGGGTTTGGTCTCTTCCTATATTGATTCCATTTTTGTGACTTTTGGTCTCTGGCCCTCTCGCAATTTCTGTTGAACCAATTCTGCTTCCTGGTTTTGCATCTCTGCTTTGGTATAAATTTTTTTGTGTCTTAGCAACAAATCTGTCCAATTATACTCACTAAAAAAAATTCTAAGGTCGCCATAATGTCCTCTCCTGAAGTCAGGTTTTTCAACTACTTCAACCTCCTTATTGTATAGGTGTATAGGTGTTCTGTTTGGCTAATTATCTTCAGGCCTTGGCAATTTCCCTTGTGGATCTCTGGTGTGGTTTGCTATGGATTGGTCCACACTCGCTCTGCATGAGCTCGAATGGTGCTCTTCATCCATGCTAATGGATAATGATCATTCTTTCTGCATCCACCATACTGCCTGCTGGGTTGGTGACACCCTGAGCCCTGTAAACCTTGTTCTCATTGGATCTCTGCTTTGAGATTGGAAGCTCATCAGGCAGATGCTGCTTTACAAGTGAGGTTCAATTGTGTTAGGCATTTGCTGCATTGTGATCATTAGTATGCTCTGGAATTAGCCCCTGTGCTGTTCAGGTCCCAGAATTGAAGGTGTTGATGACCTCCACCTGGATTAATTCTGTACCACCTCCTCTTCCTTTCCCTGTGGGTGTGGTATACCGTTTCTAGTTTTCTTCCCCAGTTCCGACTCCAAAATGTCTGAGTGTTTTAGAGTTGGGTCAGGGTTTAGCTTGGGGTGTAGCTCTGCCATTTCTGAGGATGGCCCCATCTGCCTTAACATTGGAGGAAGTTGAGCCTGCTGGGGTTTGGGGTTTGCTCCATCACAACCACCTCCCCACTCCGAACCTTCTCCTTCGAAGGACACTCTTCTGTCTCTAGCATTGGTCGAGGATTGGGGCTCTGCCTTAGAGCCTTCATGGCAGGCTTTGGGTGGCTGTGATGGGGGGGGGGGAGCCTGAGGAGGTTCTATAGGTGCTCTTTAACCCTTCTTGAACTTTGGTTACCTCTGCATTTCCTCTGCAGAGAGGTCAGTCAGAACCGTCGAGAGAAGCACACATGGTTCAGTGTGCGTTGCGAATTAATATCAATAATCTAGGGACTTTTAAGTGTTATAGGGACTAGAACAGTGCTTAGTCCCATTAAGTGTACAGTAATGCAGTGATCAAAATAGTATAGTGAAATCACATAACTAAGATCAGACAGAACAAAAACAAGTTTCGAGTGGCAACAGTGCCATACGTAGCCACGTCGCTTGGAAGAAGTCAAGGAGCTCAGCCTTGAGACTTGCCTAGTTGTGCTCAGAGTGGATGGCTGTAGTTCTTCAACAATGTACAAAGGTCCATAATATCTTGCTTCAGGGAAAGAATTTCTCTTATCCCCCCTTTCCATGTATGAGTTTGATTGCTAGTAGACCCACCCCACTTGGGTTCAGAATAATAGGGCACCTTCCACAAGCCACTGGTGTCCTAATACCTCTACTATGGTCACATCAGATAAATCAACAAAATACAATAAACATGACACATGCTACTTAAAGAAATGGATTACAAGATAATCAGTCTTGGCAAACCTTGAGCATTGCATCTCTGTCAGAGAAGGTTACAGCTCCAGGCACAATCCTGTGGGAAGCCCCACCCCGACCTCCACCATCAGCTGACTGGCCAGGAGGACCTGGGGGACCAGGAGGACCTGCAATGCAATACATATATATAGCTAGCTTCATACCCCTAGCTAGGCCAGAAGATGGACACCATCTAATATGCTCCTCTATAGGTATGTGCTGTAATGTGTAATGTGCCTTTAAAAAATAAAATAAAATTTTCCCCATATGTTTTAATGCCCAAATATTTCAGACTTAGTGAAAATATACTACTGTATATGCATTTTTATATGAAGTACAAATATGTTAAAAAAATGTTATACATGATGAACCCATTGCTTTATTTCTTATTTTCAATTAAATTATACATTTTTTTTATTATCTATTCCAACCATTTGCTCCTTAAAGGTAAGGATCCTTTCTGGTGTAAATGGAAATCAGACAATCAGGGCAGACCAATATTCTATACAGGCATAGCTAGAATCATTTCAAATATCCTGTCAGGTTAGAGTTGGCGAGGCAGGCACTAGGATAATACTGAATGAATCCTGCTTGAAATTACCAGCAGAAATCTCACATTTTCAAGCACTAGTTGGCATTACAGGGACCATCAAGTAGTGCTCTGATAACTGCACCAGGTGGAAGCACCAACTCAAGATTCCCTGACTAATCTCACATTCTTCCTAACTGGTCTCCATGTTTGTTGAAGCAGAGACGAGAATTCAGTTAAGTAACTCATTTTCATTCTTGAAAACTTTGCTTCACTGTGCAATATACTAATATCACAATATTTTGCAATGTTTCTTGTGTGAATGTTTGGAGGATTGTATTTGTGTTTGGATACCTGAAAATTAACTGGTCTTCCCGAGTTACTGTATCTGTATGGTTTCATTTTGTGCTTCATTGGTTGGTTTCCACTATTGAGCTTCTCAGTACATTTATGTAACAAGAGAGCAGTACACAAGAATACAGCTGACCAGCATAACAGTGGAACATGTCTGAATGTGGCAACAATCAGTCTGGCTATAGACAGTGAAAACTCTCACCACCTGTTAGTGCTAACAATGGCCAGGTCAGGTCAAGTGCATAGGAGATAATGGTGTCAGTTATGTTGCTGCTGTGCTACTCCACCTGTGATTACTAATCTACCTCAAAAGACAGTGCAGGACCCTCCCACAGCCCCCTATAATGACTGGTATATAAAGTTTAGCTTTTGTGGTTGTTAATGCAATGTCCCCCTTCCTCCTCTATGGGGGGGGGGGGGGAGTGGATAGCGCTAACGAACAGAAGTGCTAGTCTCATGAAGGGTTGCTTGTTTGACTTCTTTATTGGGGAGTTATTTTGATCTTTTGCGATGTAGATTACGCAGGTTAACCAAACGGTGGTCTGTTTTGATTTGTCTACCTTTCTGGGTCCTTCCCCGGTCGATTATGACATACTTTAAATGTAATGTGCTCATAGGCCATTGCTCCCTGCACCTCTCTGAAGGAACCAGGTTCTGGCTTGTGGTTCCCAGTAGGCATAAAAACTCCTGTGACTGATGACCCCAAGCTAATATAGCACATATCAGTTCAGATAGCTTCAGGGAGCCGACGGGGCTCCCCACAGAAAAATACTGTTTTTGAAACCATTTATTTTTGGCACATCATGGGAATGCCATTTTAAAAGGTACACAGTGTAGGGGTTAAAATGGACCCTATATACTGTACTCCTACCACTCTCCAAGAGAACGTATGTGAGATGTGTTTCTTCAGCAGGAGAGCCTTCCCCCTTTTCCCATACACATTCTAAAAAAACATGATGAGCTGTCAAGACCCGAAACTCAGATCACTAATGCAGCAGATGCCCAGGCTAATATAAAGTGGATCATCCTGACTGAACATTACATCCTGTTTGTTATAACACATCTGAGAGAAATGCTATATGCCCTGTGGACATTACTAGAGAAGTATGGAGAGGCTTTATGCTGTGGCATTCTTTAATACCATTTCTTCTTTGTTTGGAGTGGCTTCAGGTCTCTCATTTGAGGACTTAACTCTTATGACCCTGTTTCTTTTGTTCCTGGCTACTAGAAATTGGGCCAGTGAGCTTCACACACTCCATTCTTGCCCTTGATTCGTCACTTTTTACTGTGGAGATGCTTTTTTATATTTCTATTTTTACCAATTATTTTTAAACAATAACAAAATGACTGCTGTAGGAGGGGCTGCATCTTGGTTCATTCATCATTTACACTGTTCAGAGATGGCTTTTGTCATTATCTTCTCGTCTCTCAACAGTCTTGATAAAAGTGAAGTCTAAACCACACACCAGACGATGAGACGACGACAAAGTTTCGGTCTTCTCAATAAAAGTCTTTGTTCCTAAATTTCTACATCATGGTTCAATGTACAGTGACTTGTATCCCCCAGCTGCTGTACAGTGTGTCCAAGCTGTGCTGATACTAAAGTTCTGGGGTTTTGAAGTCAGCCTGTGTGTGTATGTGTCCTGTACTTCTCCAAGATTCACTGCCTTTTTTTTTGCTGGCTTTTCCCAGATCATCATCTTGTCCTCTGAAGGGGTCTGGAAGCCAGGATGCATGACTTTTGGGGCCACTGGACACTTTTACCCTTGCTTCCTTTTCTGGTACCATTCTGCACAACAGGCTAGTCTTACTATTTTGTATTTTGTTTTTTTTGTGCCGACATTTACTTTATGAAACAACCAAGTGGGATAGCTCAGATATATTACAGTTTATATACAGTACTGTACTGTATACAAAAGTTCTTTCTGAGCACATCACTCGATTTCTCCCATTCCTCCTTTAGGTCCTAGTCTTCCCATACAGTACTTAGATTTTTATGGTCAGATATAATGTGAGGAAGCTTGAGTCAAGGTATGCAGTTTTCATACTGGTGGTGCCACCTGGTGGTGATCAGGGACAGTAAGCTGGTGGGTTAACTAGTAGTTAGAGCTTTGAGATTACATACATGAATATACCCTAAGAGGGCATTCCAAAGAGGATTGAGTACTTTTTCATAGTTAGAAAAGATCCCTGCTGCACCAATGCTGTCACTGACATGCCATGACTGCATGATCCTATATATGGGACCAGTAGAATCTTTACTTAGTGAGGCAACCAAGTATGCTGCTCAGAGAGAAGCTTTTCTTATATGCAGAAGACATGAATATTGCCACTGAATAAAAAAGGAAATTATATCTACATAGATCATTGAATAAATGAGTCATGCATACATGTAGCAGAGACAATTATTTTGAAAAATATTCACGTTACAAATACTGTAGATGATTAGAAGTAATTAAAGTCATAACATGCAAATAATCAGGAATTGCTGATAACAAAATTAAAATATCTGATAGATGTTTGAGCAGCACCTCTGTTTCTGCGGCGGCCAGATATTCGCCGACGGAGCTCAGCGATGCCTCCAAGGCTGCCTGAGGCCGCTTGTGGAAAGGGAAAAAACCCACCATGTGTTAGTATGCATGCCGGGTGAGGATGGAGGAAGATGCCCAGTTCGTAATGGGAGATTGTGGTGCTGAGTTGAAGGTGTAGGAACTCTAATATCTGGGAAAATCTATACTGCAGTTTATGGAGGGAGAGGCATACAGTCCCACAATTAGTAGAAACTTTGGGGAGGGGGGGGGAAAGAAGAGCTAATCTATTTTGGAAATTGAGTATGGAAAATAGTTTTACAGTTAATGGAAACTTAAGTTCAGGAATAAATATATGGGGAAGCTCTGTGGTCAGTGGGGAAAAGTGCCTAAAATGTGTGCTATGATCTGTGGAGTGGGAGCTCCAAAAAGTAGATCAAGAAGATATATTTAGCTGGTGAGATGTACAACTAAGAGCCAGAAAAGTTCAAAGAATAACAGGTGCTTTTTTGCAGGTAGGAAGATTAGAAGCTTAATGGGAGGATGAGGTCTATCAGTAGTCAGGGCAAGAAATATTACTCATTTCTGATGATTATAAAAGAACACCTGGCAATGAGCAGTGACAAAGCTCTCTTCTGAATGTTGGACATGTAAATGGTTAGAAGCAAGCTAGATAAAATTATTGAAAATTTAGATCTCAATATATATTTGAGTATACAAAATAGAAAATTCACAGAGTTTGTATCCTGTATTACCCTGAACACTAAATTATTTGTATAATTTCAGAAGACTGTTCAAGTCTAAGATTTATTTGTTAATCCCATAAGGAATGCAGCCAACAAGAATACATTTAAACTACACAAATGCACATAAAAAACACCATACTTTTCTTGCAGGTTTGGAATGCAAATTTTTTTTGCAATATACATTAATAGTTACTTAACCATGAAACACTTTTGGAAGGAGGTATTAAACACATACCTTTTGGACCGGGCATGTTGCCACCAGGTAGGCCGGCAGGTCCTTGTTTGCCAGGATGACCTCTTCGGGACATGCCAGGTTCCCCTGGGGGTCCTGGAGGGCCCTCGATGGATAGTCCAGGCGTACCTGGTAGACCCTAAATGTGACAGTAACAATGATTAGAGAGAGAGGAATATGCAAATACAGTAAGTATATATTTTATGACAAAGTCAGATATGTATTTCTACAAATACATATCTGAAATATGTATGTAAATAGAAATACATATTGCTATATGTATTTCTAACTAGAAATTATTTGTGTATGATATATAATATGTCAACGCAGATAGTAATTTTAGTACAGTAAAGAGATATTCTGGTTCTGCTTACTGGTGGTCCAGGTGGTCCAGGTGGCCCAGGAACAGGGATATACATCTGGTTCTCACCCTCATGTAATCTACCAGATGGACCAGGAGGCCCAGGAGGGCCCTCAGGGCCAATTGGACCTGGTGGTCCAGGTGGCCCTGGTGGACCCAGCACTGTAGGTGTGTCAGAATCACTGCCACCCTGAAAATACAACAAATGTGACTCATTTTGACTAATCAGAGAATCATTAAAAGCTGATGTGATATACCCTCAGATAGACTGGGCAAATCTCCTGCTTAGAAAGTGACAATGCTGCTGCATATATTGTAAGGCCAAAATACAGTACAGTATTACCAAACTCTTGCTTTCTGTATGCTGTATAATCAATACTGTATACTCTTAAACAAATATTTGACCAACATTTAGTAAACAAATGATAGCCAGTATGCTGTCTTATTTCATAACACATGGTCAGACATTTAGCTTATTAGACAACATAATGTCAGAATACTATTTCACAGTATCGTTTAGTATGTTGCCCCCATACATATTTTTTAACAACATAGCCAACATACTTTTTATATAAATTATCAGTGTCCTAGGATTCAGTTCAGGAAGACAGTTGCTCAACTGCCCATTCGGCATCACTATAGTCCTTTAGTGGTTCCTGATAGTTCAAATTTCTCTCTCAAAACTGATATTGTATATCAAAGATGTGCTAGTCAGCAACTCTGTTTCAGCTTTGACTGGAAGCTGACTACTGCCTCTGCCTGTCCTGTATGTCACTGTAGCAGCTGACTACTGTTTTCCAACCAAAGAAATGGCTCACTTTATAGGGGGGAGACCCTTCAGCTCTCCAGAGCTACCTGGGCTGATATGAATGTATTAAACCATGGCATCAGTCAAAGCGAATGGAGTTCTGCCTACCGGGGGACCACGAGCCAGAAGCTGGTCCCCCTCAGAGAGGCCAGGTTCTAGTACTGAGTGAGCAACCAATGGTGGCGCATGTGCCTCTGGCTCCCAAATACCTGTCCGACGTGGTGTTGAAAGATCGCTCTCTGTCGGTGAAATTCAGACCTTATTGTTTGAAGAACATAAGGGTCATGATATTTATGAAGCTAGGTGCAATTGTTACAGACCCGAGTCCAGCGTCGGAGCATGGAGCAGCGATGACAACACCATCTGCGAGTCCGCTCCCGAAACCCCCTCCAAATGGACGACGCCATCTAGTGATGACGAGAGACGCCGGCAATACGTGCTGGATTCCCGTCTTAATTGGCTCGTGGAATAGCCGCTGCTGACCTCTGGTGAGGTGGCGCTTAGACAGCAACACCATCTATGGAGTGAAGAGGTGGACGTTCGTGTCTAAGCTTGTAAGTGAGGTTTCCTAGAGCGTCCCAGTATTAATGACGTATCTGATTGCAGAGTCGACCTGGGACTGCTGTGTTGGACGATGGATGAGTCTACCCAAGGCAGCCAAGGTCTCTTCACCAGTCTGCTTTGAAGAAGCTGTGAGTCACCCCCGGACGAACTCTGTTGAGAGTATTAGCCTGCCTGTGGCGTGGCAGTGTCGGGAATCGCCTTATCCGGGGCTGGCTGGTGGAAGAGACTAGCCACTGTAGTGCTTAGTGAGGAGAGTGATCAGCGGGACCACACGAGGTTCCTGCCTAGGGCTCGCAACCCTAGTATCAGTCGTGGAGTGGCCTACACAGCGGAGCTGATCGGTACCTGCCAGCTACAGGCTGGATTGTGGTTGAAGGCCTCCACGACGAAGCACCCAGTGGGACTATGATTTGGC